CCATCAATCAAATAAATACAGACATGTTTTTTAGTAAAGCCAGAAAACTTTTAACTCCAGCGTTTTGGCTAGCAGCTACAGTCTATGACAAGACGTCAAAAACTCTAAACACAAAATACTTAAATAAACGGGACACACTTCTTTCCTGCAAATACAATTTCACAGGTGTTGCTAATACCTATGATTCTTCAAGGGATGTGCTCAAAGAGGAGTTCAACATTATGAATAAGATATAGTGTTTTATTTTACTAATACCATTATAAACAAACTTACGTCTTAAGAAATGTTATTTTAATAACGAAAGTGCTAAATTCTTTCCAACAGTATAGAGGTGTAGTGTATTTTGTCCGAGTCGGTTTGCCGTACTTTGACGTCATCGGCAGTCGAAGGACCCCGAGCCGATCTTGCACCCGAGCAGATCCTGTACCGACACCGGAAGTAAGAAAAATTGCAGTTCTACCCTCATCCGCTGGGGGCTGGTATCAGAAGCGAGCAAATCCTCATTGACTCCCATGTTAAAAATACCAATTTCACAGCAGAAATAAACATGTTTACAGCCTGGTACCAAAAAATGTTTTCTGTTTAAATTATATAATATATTTAAACACACACACACACACACACACACACACACACACATATATATATATATATATATATATATATATATATATATATATATATATATATATATATATATATATATATATATATATAAATGTTGATGGTTCAAACACAGGGATGGAGCACAATGTTTATACCTGAATAGTATCAGGATGTTTTAACTCACAGAGGCCTGCAGGGCTTCAGTTTTATGAGCAAAGTGCTGATAATCCGCTGGTTATGGGCGCTAAATGTTATTTTGCCGCTTCCGTGCGGAGCGGTAGGGAAACATATGTCAAACATGGAACGGAGTCTGTTACCGAACCGAGCAGAATTCTGATGACGTCACACCGGTGCGCGAAGGTGCAGGTTCCAACCAGGAGAGGAGGGAGAGAGGAGGTAAACAGCGAGTGGATCACAGGGACTGAGCTGATGTATTTGAGCAAAACTGCGGTAAAAATGGCTGTTTGTCCTCATCTACAGTGTATTCCCCCCGGTTTAGATGCAGTGCTCATGCAGGTGTCTCTTTCTGTTCCGATGCTGCTACACGTAATATTTTCAATTTATTAAGCCTACAATTTATTTTTACTCAGTAACAGATATGAATTTAAATGTGGCGAATTACAATTCTTTTTTAAAAACGTACTCAAGTAAAAGTAAAGTACAGATTTTAAAAGTATAAATATACAAAAAAGCTACTCAATTACAGTAACGTGAGTAAATGTAATTCGTTACTTTCCACCTCCGATTTTTTTCCATAAAAATAGAATTCATCTAATTAAATGTTAGTATCACTGGCATCCTTGCAATTTTAATTATTTAATTTTTTATGTATTTTGTCATTTTGTTTGTTATTTTTACCTCTCAGCAAGTTGATTAGCATATAAAATACTAACATGTTATTTTGGTATAGAAAAGAGGTTTATATCTTAAAAAAAAGAAAGAAAGAAACTACTTGTTTTTATAAAATATTGATTTTGTTTTGATAGACAAAGCCGTTGTACTAATGGAACATTAGGTGTTATACACTGGATTAGAAACAGCAGCACAGTGATGCTTCAGAGTAAAAATCCCCCAACATTGTCACTGAGGTGATGGGCTTCTCAAAATATCACTGGATATATAACAGCAGTGTGAAATATCAACATTACAAATCTTAATCTGTATTCATAAAATTCTTGATACATGAAGTGACCAAAAGACACAACAATAAAAGAAGAATAACAACAAAACACAAATATGATACAAGTATGGTACAATTTTCCTTTATTTAAATCAATCTGTAAAGATATATTTCTAAAAGAAATTCCTGTAACTAATGTTCCAGATCAAAGCCAGAAAGGATGAAAATAGCAGACACTTTTCTTAGTATCATTATTTTTTCTCAAACAGTGGACTACTTTTAGATCTTTTATTTATTCAGCATGTTATCCAAATATCTAAAGATTTTTAATTAGACCATAATTTTAGAAATTCACTAGCTTTACCCTTTACATTCAATTTAAAAGAAATGACATTTTTTGCCAACCACTATTAGGCTTTTGTTGGTTGGTTTTAAAAACGTCTACAGAAACTGCTGCTAAAGGATGTCACAAATGGCTGCAGGTGTTTGGATCTGGTCCACAGAAGAGCAGAAAGTTACCAAGTGGATTCCAACACTGCGTACTTTCACAGCTAATCTCCTCTCGCTAAAAGTCTGATGGCGCAAAGTAAAGTTAGGCCCTGCACATCTGAACAGCAGATGTCAGTAATGCCTTAAAGTGGACCAATAGGATCTGACCTCTCAGAGATACATGCAGTAAGCATTTATCAGAGATTGGAGGAGATTACGCTAAATCAGATTACTGCATCCCGACCTGCCTATAAAAGGCAAGGTCATTAAGAGATTAGCCTCATGTAATGTCACCCGTTTTATGAGATGTATTAAATCATATTATGTAATGTTTGTGTTGCTGTTTTGCCTTTTTTTAAATCTGATTTCTCTGATCCCTCGTTAATACCATCAGATGGTGCTACTTAAACTTTATACGCCGGCTAACCACGGTATTTATGTGTGTTTACGTCCACAGCTTCAATGAAATTTCTTCAAATCTGAACGAATTAAAAACACACCTGTGTTATAAATGTTTTGCAGGGTCGTTAATGCACTAAACCACCTACGTTTTTCCATCTACAAAGGACATCTAGTTTTATTTACAAGTTGACACTTCAGATTTCAGCCTAACGTTTAGCCACTCATATCCAAGTGTGGACGGTGCTTTTTCTCTCATCATCAGATTGAATGCAGATGGATAAGATGCGCCCCATGGGTGCTCTAAAGTGCCACCAAAGGAGCTTCACAACACATGTATGCAGACAGACAGTATCCAGGGGCAACTAAATCTTAGCAGCATTAACCTGGGTGGATGCGTCCCAGTGGAAGCCCACACCCAGAACATTACCTGGGTCTGTGCATCTGTTTTATTTATTTAGATAAAAGAAATCTTAAAATCAGGTTATGAATCCATTAAAGCGTCAGTCGATGACAACTGCTCCCCTGTGTTTGCTAATCTAGATGAATAAATTATTTTTGTAGGGTAATTAAAGTAAGCACAAACGCTTCTTTAAGTACTGTGAGGTTTTTAGAGAGTTGTTAATAACTATTGATTGTTTGATGTAATAAAGGGGAAACAAAATATGTGTATATTTAGACATATTTGCTTTTTTTGTTTTACCATGCAGTCAAATGAAAAATCATAGGTGCATTTTACAATAAAGTTGAGGGTCATTGTAAAAGGATGTTTCTTGTTACTCGTCTGACATTTCATTCAAATTATGCAACGGAAAAGCTGCTGGTTTAAAGTTTTTTTAAATGTAAAAACACAACAACAACCAGCAATAACAACACTAGCATTCAGGAATGTTCTTTGTGCAGACCAAAGCTGTTGCTGCTGTCCTGCCCCGTCGGGCTGAGCCCATGCACACTCTGATGCCTCGGAGGACAACAAAGCGTTCCATGTCTCCAAGTAACGCCTGAACCCTCAGAGCATTAAGCCCTCCTCTGAGCAAACGACATAGACTACTGGTGATAATGATCAAGTCAACTCTACAGCCATACACCCACAGGAAGGACATCCCTAAAGATTTCTTAGAGACATCTGTCCATAAATTATGAAACATGACAATGTTTGTATTAAGAAAATTCTCCAACAGCCAGGCTTTGAATTATGGGGGAGCTAGGGGGAGCCAGGGGGAGCCTGTCTCCCCAGAAGTCCTCAACTGACACATCCAGCGGGAGGCTAAAAATGATCCCGTTTCAATCTATCAGACATTATTTATATGAACTCTCAGCATACCAAGACTTCTTGCAGGCATTCCATGTGTACAGTGTCCCCCTCACTGTTTTTGATGGGATTGGAAAGATGACATCCCCCACCCCTCTCATTGGTCCCCTCCGGAAGCCTGTGTGTAATTCGAACCCTGCCAACAACAAACAATGAAAACTATTAATGATGTTATGAGTGGTTATTACCGTCAATAATAAAACAAATGAAAACCATCTCCATGTTTTTTCTTCTGATTAATTGTGTAATCCAACAGAAACACTGAATGACTCAGAGTCTAAGTATATGTAGCAAAGTGGCTGGGCTCATTTGTCTGCTTTGAATTTCAAATGAAATTGTGTTGTTGTTTTTGAGGTAGCGGTACGTCTACCAACATTTTCATATTGCACACATGCAAAGTGATCTCTGGTGAATATCTTGTTTAGAAAGATTACAGAATAACAGTTTTCAAGGGATTTCAGATTAAAAAAAGTTGATAAACCTGTGTTTAATAGGCAGCTTGTATACTTAATATTATTAGGTTTCTTATAAAATCAGTGCCAAATAGTCCTTATACACTGTTGGGTGATGCATTATGCTGGAGTTGTGGGGAATTCTTACCCAAATTATGTAACATACAATTCATTGTCATTTTTTAAATGGTAAACTAATTTTGTATAGACATATAAACCGTGCTTAGATTTGTAAGAAGGTTTGAGAAGTTCTTCAGTTAGTTTTTTGTTCCATAATTTGAAAATGTTATTTTTTTTTCAAGACAGAATTTGTTTTGGATATTACAAAATCTCTTGTTGTATTTGGAGACTTAAAACGTTCTTCCTGTTTGGAAACCAAATGTAGCTTTTAATATTTTCTCCTCCAGTTCCGTTTAACTTAAGTGTTGTTAAACGAAACAAGTCTAGATAATTTTTAAAGTGGATTTGACTGGTAAATATTGTCTAGGTGTGTCGGTATTACCGAAGATGGCAGTATTTCCTGATCTGTCAGTGGTCTCCGACCCTTCGCCGTGCGTTATGACGCTGCCGTAACGTGGGGTTTCCCAGACCTGAATGCAGGGTTACCGCGCCCATCTCTGCTGTTTGATGGCCGGAGGAAGAAGCGACTGAGATTCTGGCGTGAAGGAAGAAACAAGAGGGACGAAGACGGTGGGAAAGAGAAGAAGGGCCACTTGCTTAAAGTTGGAGATTGCCTCGAAACGTTGGAACGCTCAAACGGGACTCAGACTTGCCTTTTTGGGTGAAAACCGCCGTATCTCTGCGCCGGTGTATCGCGCCCCCTCAGCGGGTTAAAACTGGGTTCGGGGAGTGCCGCTCCTCGGTGGCTAAATTTGATAAATCTGAGCGCCTACGCCGAGAGAGGAGAGACAACGTTTAGCTGTTTCCAGTCAATGTGATTCAGACAGCGGATACATTCGACTGAACGCGGGTAAGGATGTGTTCTTATATTCAATTTTGCGCTGCAGGAAATGCATTAAGTGTTTGCTTTTGGCTAGCCGTTCGATCAGGGGAGATGAACGAAAAGGGTTCAGCTGGGCTGAGTGGCTCCAGTTAGCTCCTGTTAGCTTGTCTCTGGCTCGTTTTTGCTGCCAAAATTGTGGGCAGGGGCCCCACAGTTAGATAAACGTCACTCGCTGCTTTAGTTCTGGTGTCAATTTGTAGAAACATTAATTAGATAGAGAAAATAAGCAGTGTTAGCATTAATTAGCTTTGTTAATCTGTGACATCCCTACAACGTCCGGGTATATGTCCCTCTCTGATTAGCCGTCTCTGTTCAACTTAATCAGCCTCGTTTAAATTAATGATCTACCCCAACGATATTTTAGTACAAAATACCACCGAGACTTTTAGTCATCCTGGTCGACGCTGACATAGTGGACTTGTTCGTCGGCCTTCATGTTTGTATTTCTTAAAGATATCAAGTGATTGCCTTTTGGGCTAACGCTTGCCTCCCGTGGATTTTTCGGGTTTTAATCCCAAAGTTGTCGATTCTTTAAGATTGCATTAGTGTAAAAAGCACGATCGGAGTTTGGATTCAGTTTCACACACACACACAAAGCATTTGTAGCATCATGGATTGACAACGAAGAAAGTCTAAAAATGGCTACTTCGCCAACATTATCACTACCACCCCCACTTTTCTGTATCCCGTCCATCAGCAGCGGTGTTTTCACGCCTGGTGTAGTTGATCCCGGGTGTTTATTACTAATATAGTTAAAGTCATGCGCCTGTCACTCATGAATAATAACGAGGTTGTCATTTATTATTGTTTTAAGTAGAATTGTTTATTATATGTCGGTAGTGCTTACATTTACAGCTGCGGACACAGGTCTTGTTCAAACGAACTAGTTGATCCTACAGTGTTAACTTCATTAAATCGAAACTAAACCACCGTGGATTATGGCTACTGTATGCCCTAGTGATTCACAAGCAGCCACCCAGCCGTGCACTTGTGCTGAAACTGAACGTATGCAGTATTTTATTTTAGATCGCCTTTAACGCAAATTCTGCAGGAACACAGCAAATGACAGCTCCGAGATCGCGACGAAAAACTCAACCCACCGCCGTCTCTAAGCAGTAAGAGAAGCCATAGCCATTTTAGTTTTGCGCTAAAGCGGCCCCTTTCCAACGACCTTAATTTGAACTTCTCGTTTTAATTAGGTGAAAACAGGATTGTCTAATTGGATTTTGACAATCTGTGTATCATGACCACAGGTCTGTTGCAGGTCAGGTTGTTAGCTGCTACCGTAATCATACCCAACCGGGCCGCGCTGCTCCTTTAGCATTTTAAGCTCCAGCCTAGAAAACGGGCACCCGCGATGAAGCGTTAACCCCAAATGAGCTGAAATCGTGCCACCCTGAGGTTTTTGTAATCCATAATAATGTCTTGATGGTTTATGCTTTGGTGTAAAGCGTTTCGAAAGCAGGCTTAGCACCGAGTGTTCACAGGAAGCCAGGAAGAGCGCCTCGGCGCTCAGACGAGGTAACATACATGTAGCTTTTACCAGATAATTAATCCCAGATAGTTTTCCTCTGCTTGCAGTAGGTAGGTAGGTGTGCGGGACATCCGTCAGTGTTTTGTAAAAGCCAGACGCATTTAGTGGCTCACAAAGATTAATTCATTTTGCCATTGTGCCCCCGCCCTCCGCCTCCTCGAATGAATGGGTTCCTGTATTCAGGGCCCAGGCAGCTGCAATGAACAAGATGGCGTTCAAAGCCTTTTTCTTCACCGCTTTTTCACAGACACGGAGAGGCAGCTGCCGAGCATCGGATGGGTTCAGGGCTGGCATGCTAGATGTCTGATTATCCACGTTCAGGCAGTCCACACTGCGTTAGCTTTAAATTTGTTTTCATAGGTTAGTAAAATTCCTTGTCGGCTTATTTCAGCATGCACGCCTCAGATCCAGGAGAACATGGTGGGGAAGGGGTGTTGCACATCTCAGCTGTGGATCTGATATCTGGGGAACCTAAATGCCTCTGTAAATATTTTTATAGTAAATGCATATTTGAGTATTACATGTTTGTAAATAACTTGCTTTGATTTGATAAATCTGTCACCTTTGATATATTAAACTTTATTTTTAGAATGTGCTATAAATGAAAGTGACAGTGAACCTGGGGATGGGGTGAAAAGCTTGGTTATTAAAACATTTTATTTTCAAATGTTCTCACCATAAAATTGACTAAATGTGACATTTACTAGCATCAAAATGATAACTTCATTTATTTAGATAAAGCAGTTTTGGAAAAACAATAAATTTCAAAAGAAATCTTAAATGTTATGCAGTTGTGTGGATGTGTTTAATTTATAAATGCAGTAAACGATTTGGATTAAGTTATTACTCTCTGGGATTATTTTATTTTTTAGGATTATGTGGCTTTGGTCAGTAATGGTGCTTATTTTCTGTCCCTAGCATAATCTTTATTTTAATATAATAGAAATTAAAGCAGAAATGTCTTGGCTATTAAAAGCACCAAAAGAAAACATCTGTGTTTAACAAGCAACATTCTTTCATGATTTCAATGATCATATTCAAAATTAATTCAAAGTCATTTATATTTTACATGTGCAGTAGCTACCAGTTTGAATCTCACTCCCCACTGAGTGTTTCACTGGTATAAATGCATTTGCATCAGGTTTCACACAAAGCTCTTATGAGACAAGTGATGTGAAACATTACGTTTAGTTTTCTTTCCCCCTGAAATTCCAGAGAAACTTCACTGACTTTTTAGGCACTAATTGCTCTTGTTTTACTGCTCCTCCAGTTGAGTCCCGGTAATTCTTGGAGAGCAAATACTTCAGTTTTATTAGATAATCTTTCTCACAAATCTGTTGCATTCAAGACAAGAAAATAAAAAATACAAAATTCAAGTCATGTTTTAATTTTAGATGGCATAATTTCCGCAAGAGTTTACGGTGATCCAATCGGTGCTTTCTGAAACTAGTTCCGGAAGTAGATGTTTTACCTAGCCATCTCAGTGTTGCGTTGTAATCCTTCAGCAAGGCTAAGTAGTCCTCTTAACTCATTCACTGCCAGCCATTTCCTGATTAGTAAAGTCATTCGCTGCCAGCGTTTTTCAGCATTTTACAGTTTTTTTAAGAGTCACAGAACGTTGCGCGCTAGGATGATGTCAGCGGCAAAACTAACAAAACAAAGAGGAGACTCACCTCTTACATCAAGAAGAATCCGCGCGTTTCCAGCGTTACCCCGGCTTTCCACGGGAGCCGTCAGCAGCACGTTACTGCAGCAGCACGTCATAGCTGCTGATAGGAACCGCTGTGGTCAACAGAACCTTTTCCACTGGAGCCATCGGCAGCCGTCAGCAGCGCGAGTCGGCCGCGTCTCAGGAGCAGCATGTCGCGGCCTTTACGCCTCTGAAACGGGTCAAGTTCGACATTTTTGGGGAAGGAAAGACAGGAAATCGGACGCGGAAATGGAGAGAAGCTACCGAGATTTTCAGAATAAAGAACGTGCTGCCTTCCGGTTGCTTTACTTTTAAAAAAGGTTACTAACTGTGCGTCCCCGTGAGAAGTTATCACCTAGCTAGCGGTCTCCTTTGTTTTTCAGGTCCGTATTGGCGATTATAAAACGGACAGAACATAAAAACACAAACCATGTTGTAATTTTCTCCTGCTTGTTGTTGTGTTTACTGACGAAGTCACTCGTGTGACTTCGTGCTCGGTCGGTGACAGCTGCTCCCCTGTTGCTTCGCATCTCGTGGGAAGGGCCAAGCAGCAGCTTACGCGAGCAAGACGTGCTGCTGCAGTAACGTGCTGCTGACGGCTCCCGTGGAAACCCGGGGTTATTCGTTCTTTCATAATACGTTGTCGAACTGTGATCGGCAAAAGCTTTTCCGGTTCGCGCCTCACCTTTTTTTTACAGCAGTGGCCCAAAATGATCTCCTAACACATGGAGTTTCTGCTTCCTGATCACGTGACGTGTGACTGGAGTTGTCACGGTGTGAAAATTTAACCTCACGGTTATTGTGACAAAAATTATCACGGTTTTCGGTATTATCGCGGTATTTTTTAAAAAGTGTTGCATTTTCAGACAACTAAATAAACCCTGTATATCAGGAAAATTTTGTCCTCAGTTTGTGTCTAAATTTAGCCTAAAATGTGTTATTTCATAATTATGTTGTTTATTTACATTTTTCCCCTTTAGTTTTTAAAATACCAATATTTGCCCATAACTTCTTATTTTTTGTCTGTTTGATGTCATCATTTTAAAAATATTAGATCAGATGATACTCAGTACTCAAGTAGACTTCTAATCAGATACTTTTTTTTTTACCCATACTTGAGTAATAAACCCTATATCAGGAAAATATTGTCCTCGGTTTGTGTCCTTCCAGTGAGCTTTGCAGATTTGGGAAAATGTCATCAGGCAGTAATCATTGTTAAATTCATAATTATTCTCGGAGAGAGACCAACTCTTATCTGCCCCTGGGAGCCCCGTAATACATAGCGTCATTTCAACATGGGGGTGTCCACGACACGGTTTATATGCAGGTGGCGGGCGCTGCGGCTGCTTTATATAGCGACTCGTTTTATTCTCCCTCAACCCAAATCCTCGGATCACGCATTTTAGCTAAAACGCTAACGTTAGCTTGCCTTGCGTTGACTGTAGAGTTGTGGGTGATGGTCACGCACGTGTCATGAGATTTGAAGCGTTGCTGCCTTTCACAGACACTTTTTCTGCACGTGCTGCAAACAGGATAGTCGTCTTCTATCAACTGTCCCTCGGCATTCTTCAGATATCCAAAAGATGCCCGTACTTCCCACTTTGTCTTCTTTGAGGGATAATAAATGTCCTGAGCGCTGCCGTCTCCTCCTTCGGCCATTATTTCAGCTTTAGCTTCAAGAAAGTTTGGCTGTAAACAACAAAGTGCACATGTGCCGCCGGCAACTTCAGCAAATGATACGGT